AAAAATTAAAATGAAATTGTTAATATGTTAGGCCTTCACTTTTCATGAATAAATTTCTCTTTTTTTACTTTTTTCTTATGTTTAGTAGGAAAAATATGAGTAAGAAAGGTAAAAGATAAAATTATACAATCAAATATATCATAGGTAATAGGTCTGTGTTATTTTGAAATGACGAGGGGAGGTACCTAACTTTTTGTATTAATTAGAAGAGAGGCTAGTGTATTTTACCCTTTTTTATATTGTTTTTATTCATGGAAATAGAGCATTTCTTTATAATTTTATGAAGGTTTTTTTACTTGTATAAAGGAATACCCATATGGAATGAGATATAAGATATGCCTATTGAGTTGTTCTACTGGCATTCGTGGAAGTAAATGTTATATAAACGGAAAATGACACGAAAAAGTGTAATTCTAATTTAGGTAATTTATACAACATCATCAGCGTGTCATCAATGCTATCCAAATTTTTAATGAGTACCACATCCCCTACATTTACGTATTCTTTATGTTCGACATTGCTGGTCTGGTATTACTGTACTGACTTGAGTAATCCATGATTCTAGTGTAACATCATAATTTTTGATGCTCTGATCTTCATCTGTACCTTCTGCATGCTGTTCAGAAGTATCATAATGTAAGTCCCCATTAGATGTAAACTCCGAAAAAATCACTAGGGACCTAGATTGCCTAATGGATGTAGTGTGCTCCTGCATGACTTGAGTGTAAGGTATGATTAGAGTAGATGTGCCAACATGGTGCTCAGTAGCCTATGATCCTCCATCGAATCCAGTTTGGATGGTGGGTCCTGGTGATCGGATTCTACGGTATCATCCGTAGGCAAATTACCACATACATCACTCAACTTTGTCGAATGCAATAAAGATAATAAGTTTAGGGCATATTTCAAATATTTTACAAATATTTTGAAAAAAAATTTCAACAGAATCTCCCTTATAACTGGAGGGAAACTCCCTATCAACAAACACAATTTTGCAAGAATCAAATACTATTAGGCTATTCGAACAAGTTCGTATATTTTATTAGCTTGGTCAGTACACTGGCAAAGTCTCAGAACAAACTCGCAGCAAAATTATAATACCTCTTCAGGACATGGGCCTGTTAACTGATCTCGAAACATAGGTAGAACATGTCGTGCAATCCCGTGTAGATGGAACTCAGCATTCCACCTACATAGAATAAATGAGGAGGCAAGTAATTAGTACATATGACTCTTGTTCGAATTGATGATTAGGATTACAACTTTGAAAGATATGTGCACACCAAGCTTCATATGGACCAGTAGTGATCCAACGGCTGCACTCGATAAGAGCACATAGTAGGTATACGTTCCCAAGCCTATAGTTGTAAAAAACCTTGAATCATTATGACATTGCAATAATATAATAATTAAACACTTCACTTTTCTCGAGTGTAGTGTTGTTGCAGCAACACTAACGGGCCTGCAATAACAGGCCTCCTCCACGTGCATGCAATTCCAGTATACAGTACAAGAGATGACTTAAGTTTAATTTCATCAATTGATAATAAAATAAACCCAAAAAAATGAAATGGACTCTTCTACAAACGAAAATTTAAAAATTAGAATATAAATTGGACAGCAATTATATCTATTTTTTGAAGAACAAAATCTACATTGTCTTTTCCCTATGACAAAATCCAAATTTCCAAGTCAGCAGTAAAGAGGTTAAAAAAAATTCCTCTCTATTTGTTGAGTTCTGGACAACAGCAAAAGGGTCACAGAACCAACTTGTTCAAGTAGTTGGACAAATATCACCTACGTTTGGATTAGCAATTATTTGGAAAAACAGTTTTTGTCTTTGTACGACACAAAGACTGTGAACCAATAACAATTAAGTGCATAGTGAAACTGAGGCAAACCTACGTCGTTTTTGCACAAAGTCCCAATTGTGTTGTATTTGGCAGCACTGATTACTGAACCCTAAAACACATTACATTCCCAATTGACTGTTGAACACCGCTTCATTCCAAACTCTGCTTTTCTCTCCTTCTACTGTCGGAGATCTAATTGAGGCATTCTTACTGAGTTGTACCTTTCTGCCGCTCCTCACACGTTTTCAGACATTTGGCTTGCCGATTCGTTGCGACAGTTTGAGAGGCATCAAGGAACTTCTGACCCATTTGTGATTCAAGCTGCCGACCCACTCCCATCATTTGCTGATTTCGGTTCGACATCACACCAGCAGATAACCGGAGTACGATAGAATTCTCATTCCACCCCCATCGAATTTGCTCTTGTGGTAAGTCTCCCCTTCGTTTTCTGGATTGCAAATAGTTCCAATATTTTTCATTTTTTTTCTTTTCCGTTAAAGAAAGGGTTTAAATAACAATTGACCTTTGCCATTTTTTTGGGTATAATGTACTCTACTATTAAATATGAGAGCAATTACTCCAGGTTGTTTGCTGCTTCTTAGCAGAAATTCAACACCCCAATGTAAATTTGCTGATTCTTAGCTTGCTGCCCAAAAAACGGATTTAGGTCTATCGTATGTTTCCCCCTTTTTTACCTCCAATTGAAAATGTAAATTATGTACTTTTACGCTTAATGTTTCTCATATTTTGCATTGGAGATTTTATTGTGCTAGTTGGCAGTGACTTCTCATCTTGGGGTTGCGCTGCCCAGTGCCAATGGTTTGCTAGTAATCAGTGCCATGTTTGTCTAGCAAATGATTGCACAGACAATAATGTATCCTGAATTTGTTAGGTCCTAGTTAGTCTTAATTCCGACCTGTTCCCCAGGGAACAGTTAAAACCCAACTGGAACTGATTAAATCCTTGAGCAGGCACATCATTGACTGCTTGGTTACTTTAGTGGCTTATTGAATCTCAATCAATTAGGAAGAAATACTCCAACTCAGTCGTTACCGGAATTGAAGTTGAATTAACAAAACAAGCAAGAAATATTTCTATGGCTGCAGATTCTGTAAAATCTTAGTACCATGGCAGGTTGAATATTAGTATTTGGATAGGATGTGGATTGCTAGCTCGAGTTAGTGCTTTCTATTGTGGTTTTCCATATCACGCACAAGGATTTTGTCTTGCCTTGTTTAATTGCAAACTAAACTCATGTTGCCATAATATTCTTCTACAACTGTGTTGTTTCCTTAATGTCACTGGTTGATGCGACTTTAAGGCATGTAATTTTTTTCCCAACTTCTCTGATACACGTTGCAGGCTGTCTAAATTCATAGTTCGTGGGGTGCTAAAAAACAGGTTGATCTGACTTGTATGGTTGCTGCCATTTAAGGCTACATGCCCCCTATTACCCGCCGTGCTGCCAAAGGTATATTTGTTTCGTTCCCCTTTGTTCAATGCCTTGCCTACAGATAGTGATTTTTTTCCTTATCAAACCAGCATTGAAACGGAATAGCATCTAGACTACTCGTTCATCCATTTCTGCTTGAGGGGAAAACGATTTAACGCAGTGCATTTCTAACTACTACAAGGTAATTCTTGCTCCTCCTATTCATGTTTGGTTATTATTGAGTATGTCCTCTCTATGCCTTGAATAATCTGTCAATGTGTTTCTTTTGTTGTTTCTGGATTTGTTTATGGGTTAATTAACCAAACTATACATTTCCTTCAAGAGGCGGGGAATGGGATTGGGTTGGGATAGCCAAAAGTTTACATTCCTTATGGATGATAACAAGTGGACCAAGATGGAGTAGATATAACTATTCACTAAAGAATAGCCATCGTTGCACGTTTTTTTTCCTAATCTGAGGTAATTCGTTAACTCCCTTTTGGCTGTGTTTTTTGTACAAGGTGAACCCAAAATTAATAAAATTTCAAAATGACTGCTTAGTCTATCATTTACTCGAGGAAGTATTTGTCAATCAAGGCGCAACGGGGGACTTCAGCTCTGGCTACGAAAACGACCCCCATACTTCAGCAGATGAGCAAGAGATGGAGGCTACTACACGATATGCACGGGGAAAGGGCAGGAGGGACCATGCAGACTGCGATGCTGATGTACAGGTAGTAGGGGCAAATGAAGAGAAAGGGAAGACGGGTAAAGGAAAGTGGAAGTCTGGTGATGCATCAAGCTATAGTCCTATGTCTACCGCCTCCGGTTCAGTGACTGATAGATACTTCAGGACTCTTGACACTATTGAGTTGCTTGTTAGTCGAAAGAAGAGTAGCAGCATGAGTGTATCAGTAAGCTCTTCGACCAAGCATCGTTCTGGCCGAGATGGATCGAAGAAATCAGAGTACGATGTTGCCATTACTGAACTTCGGGGATTAGAGAACGTGGCCTATGTAGCCAAAATAGCCGCTGCTGAAATATTGAAGGACCCTCAAGAGCTGGCTATTTGGAATTTAGTTGGATCAGACGCCAACCGCATCACCTTTATGAAGCGTCGAGGCTGTCTCCCACCGAAACATGGCACTCAGGAGCTTTCTCCCCCACCCCCGTTATAGTCGTTTGTGCATTGGGAGCACTTTTTTAAAGCTGGCCGTCGTTGCCTTTGTTTGTTTATGCTTGAGACCGTTAGTTGTAGCATTTGCTATCGAAACTTTGAGTATTTTTTCTTGGACTGTCATTTGTTTCTTTGAGTGTACCGCACTTTGTGGCATTGACTTTGTTGAGTATTTTATAATTCTTATAATTCAGACAAGTTAACAATTAGTTGTCAGGTTTTATTCATAATATTTGTGGCCAATCAGCAGTTGCTTTAGTATGTTTGCATATTGCCGGCCAATACTTCCAAGTATCATTCTAACTTCATTTAACTTTTATGATACCATTTGCTGCTAACACTGGCTTGTTTGTTGGTGATAACAAGGCAATTAATGACTTGCCTTTGTAAGAACATAAAATTTCAGATATTAACTATTCCAGGTGTATAGCACTTTTTAAGTCTTATGATTTATTTTCCAATTAGTCTTGATTTGATCTATACTGCTGCCATAAACCTTGCAGATTCACCTTTGACGAAACTGAACCAATAACACTTGATGGAAAATGATCATTATGCACATGGTGGGGAAACTTCTGACGAATCGGACGAGGAGAAGCCCTTTTTGATCTTCGCCATATTTGTTCTTCTAGGATTGACCTTATTTGACCCATACCTAAACCCTTTGCAGCGGCGACGAATCCGATATGGTTCACAGTCAGGTGCTCAATGGGTTGTAGAGCTAATAAATGGCCATCGAGGCAGAATATTCGACAACCTTCGCATGGAAGCTCCCCTTTTCCTGCAATTATATGACTTGTTGCTTAAGCGAGGTTATTGGAAGCCACACCCTACACAACGGGTGGCAATTCATGAGTCTATCGCCATTTGCTTTCTGTGCTTGAGTCATAATGAGCGATATAAGGTACTAGCCAAAAGATTCCAACATTCTTCCGAGACAGTAGATTGCCATCTACGACGCTGCCTTCGATCTCTCGTTCGATTGGGACGCGACTTTGTCAGGCCAATGGATTATCACACAATTCATCCAAGAATACAGAACAATGCGTTGTTCTGGCCATAGTTTAAGGTTAGGGATTTAATGTTTAGTTAGTCATTATGAAAACCTGTTAAATATGTAACACTAACCCATGTGATTAGGATTGCGTTAGAGCTATCGATGGAACACACGTATCAGTTTGGTGTAGAGCCGAAGACAGGGATCGTTACCGGAACAGGCATGGCGGCTTATCACAGAACATTCTAGCCGTGTGTGACCATAATATGAAATTCACTTATGCCAGGGTAGGGTCGAAGGGTAGTGCCCATGATTCTAGGATCTTACGAGATGTTTTACTTGATCTTAATTGTGTCTTTCTAATGCCACCAGCAGGTGCGTGAGATCTTTGATCATAAAACCTAGCCTAATTGAGTTTTCTTATAACTAAATTTGAGTTGCCATAATGAACATAACTATCTGTACATGATATGCAGGCAAATATTATGCGGTGGACGTGACATACACAAATATGCCAGAGTTTATGGCTCCCTTTAGGAGTGCACGGGGAATCCCACAAGAGCGAGTAGCAAAAGCACTTTTCAACAGACGCCATGCATCTTTAAGAAACATTATAGAACGCACATTTGGTGTCTTGAAAAAGCGATTTCCGATACTGAAGGGGCCCATACAGAACTATTTGATGGCAACACAAAATAACATTGTCCTTGTTTGTTGTGCCTTGCACAACTTCATGCACGATCATATTCCCAATAACGTATATTTTGTTGAAGAAGAAGCTGATGCAGCATTGGCAGATAATTCAGACCAGAGCAACCAAATGTTTGAACCACAATCACTCGATATGTCGGCACAAGGAATTGTTGACTGAAATGAAGATAGGAGAGCAATAACCGATCACATGTACTATCACCAATATCAGTAGAACATGGTGATCTCTCCCTCGTGAGGCTTTCTACCTATAAAGGGGATTGTTGTAGCCTTTGTAATAATTAATGTTTCCATGGACAAATTAAATGACATGTAGTCTTATGCAACCACCGTTTTGCTTATCTTTAATTGTACCACGAACAAATTAAGTAATTTAGAAAGGATATGCAACTAAGATTGATTAAAAATTTAACTACTGTTTTTCAAAAACAGTCAATCCAAACACGTTTGTTTTTCAAAAATAATTTGTTTGTGAATGACAGCAATCCAAACAATATTTACTGTTTTACAAAAAATGAACAGTAAATTTTTTGAAAAACACCCAAAAAAACAGTTAATCCAAACGTAGCGATCGTAAATTTAAAGAGAGGTAACCTTGTTCAAGTCGTAAACTTATAAACTTACCCAATAACTAGTCTAAGTTTCGAAAGATGGTCTTGTGGCTATTTGATCCTAGTGGTACCAATCAAAGCCTCATAAAGGCTTTGCCTTTGTGTCACCAACTCCATCCACACCTGTATGTATAGAACGGAGTTAACTATGAACCTAAAAAAAAAAAAAAAAAATTTAATCGCAGCATGTATTTGTCAAAAATTTTGAACAACTTTATAAAATTTTTAACAAGCAACCCATGTCCTAGAATCAAACTTCAGTGAGATACAAATGGGAGCCACCAAGAAACCTTCTAACATAAGTTCTTAGAATTACGTATGGACTGAAAAATTGAGTGCCTAATAAACCAAATATGCAATAATTAAATTCTGGGTTTTAAAACCAAATGAAAAACCAAAATAGAGACCATTTCAATTGTAAATAAAGTCTATATTTCATAGATTTATTTTGACATTCATCAGGCGTATAAACTCTCATTTAAAATTTATCAGGCATATAAACTCTTAACATAACTATCTTTAGCAATAAAAAAGATGAAAAAGGAAGTGACCAAATTCATCATTTACATTCCATAGTAATTTGATTCATGCATTGACGAGCTCATCATTCAACCATTCCTAATTATAAGACAAATCAGCCATTTCGAAAAAAAAAAAAATTACTTCAACAGTGCAAGTTTGTAAAGATACTAGTGAATACCGATACTCCAAAAGATCAGTTCAAACCAACAGAAATTGCAAACTCCAAGCAGCTAGTTATAGTCCATAGTTCCGGCAGTCCTAATTAAAGCTTAACAATGAAAAAACCAACCGGCTTCTTCTTTGAACAAAAACAAAAAAAAATGTAAAAAAAAAAAATTTGCAAATTGGTAGATAGGACATTAAGGTATGTGGAATAGCTCAATAAACCACCTGTTCATTCATTTTTTCACCAGAAGGAGAAAAATCAAAATAAAAATTGGAGATAACTACGGGCTCCAGGGCACTTCTTCTGGTTCCGGATGATAGCATCAGAAAGCGTACCTCATTCACCGGCTAATGGATGTAGCATCAATGTAATGGTCTCCATTTTGCAGCTTTCCAGTGACTTCAAATTTCTGGCGAAAGCTTTTGGTGTCGGGGCTGTAAGATAAAGCAAACTTGCAGACCTTCCCTACAATTCGTACCTCCTCTTGATGGATTTTGCTCTTCCACAAATTTGAATGATGGATTTGGGATGGATTTTGGGTTCAATTTGCAGTTCCCAATTTTGTTCATGTTTTAGGGTTTTCTAATTTTGGGGTTTAAAAATGAGTCAACGAAGTTCTTTGCCATTCAATTGCGAGCTCTTTTTTTTTCGATTGAAAGACCAAGGACCTCGCATTAATGCGAGGTATGCTTTCTTCTTTTCTTTTTTTAATGCGTTAGTTTACATTTATCAAATGCAAACTTTGTTCAGTTTACATTTAACAAAGGCAAATACGCTTATCATATAAGTAATTTCACAAATAACTTCTCTTGTAGAAACACTTTTTTGTCATAATAATTTATGAATTTATTTGTTCCGTAGACTCCAAAAATAAAAATTAATGTATTTTATCCCATGTTGCATTGCATGTATTAAAACGTGCGATCCAATTGACCATTAATCTATAGCAAAGAAAGGTATAATACATGTTTTCGAAGCATAGGTGATTTTTTCCCTTTTATTACGTAGCTGTGAAAGGATATAACCATTTTTTATATCAAAAGAAAAGTCAGATTACCTCAATATCATCCAAACATTTAGAACGTTTAGTTAAAACAATGAAAAAGTTTGGCATGAAAGAACACTCAAGGAAACTGAATGTTACCATGATTGTTTTGACTTTTTTTTTTCAATCATCATATCATACTCCGAAAACAAAATAATAACATTCAATTGAATTATGAATACCTTTTCCTTCTTGTTGATAGATATCTCATTCGCACACATCTTCTATTTGTTTCCTAGGTCTCCAGTGAGTCAAAGACAAAGATCAAAAAGGACAAATCTTTGATAATTCCAACCTCTATGATTAAGTTGCGAAAACTTCTGAAAAGATATCTTACATTTAAACCAAATTCCTTCTAGTTAAAAAATAACTTTTTAGCTGCTCAGAAACAATAAGGAGATTCTCTAAAAAAAAAAAAGGAGATTCTGCTTTTAGCAGCAACATGCTTGATCCCACTTATGAAGTCAAATCAATACGCTCTAAGAAAAAATATTTGAATATCAATCGTTTTGGAAAGGTAATAAAAAAAAAATTATGATATTTGACACCTATTGAGCAATCGGCAGGGTTAGAGACCTCCGCAGGTGCCTGACTAATCTATTAAACATAAAATAACGACTAACTTCTAACCTATAAGGTCTCTCGAGTCCTTGACATACCAAATTTCACCATCTCAGAAGTTAAGACACAGTTTCACTTAGAAGCTGAAGATACCCAAGACAACACATTTATCTTCAAAGGCGATGTCGTTTAAAACACCAGAAATCAGTTAGTTGCAAGGCCCTCATGCATCGCATCAGCAGAAGCCACCACAGAGATTTGCGATCTCAAATTGCCATAATGTCATTTTCTATCATTTTCCTGCGTCCTTGTTTTGGAAGTGAAACCCTATAAACCAATACAAAGAAGCTAGACATGAGGCCATAAAACTCTCACGCAGCCATTGCCACATCATAAATCACATGGTACTTTTCTAACTCTGATACAATTCATAAACATTCTATAGATAAGCTCAAACATTATAAGAGTAGTTAAAAAGAAGTCAATGAAAAAGAGCTGCAATAAGAAAGCCACAACAATATAAAACTTGACAATACAGATTCTGCCCTCATTGGTCTCAGGAGACTCTTGGAGGGCTTCCTAGTTTGTAAGTTCCATAATGGCAGTCACAATATCTCCATCTGCAGCCTTGAGAGCCTTCACAGCCTTGGCCCTTGAAACACCAGCTTGCGTCATGACCAATTCTATGTCCTTGGGTTCTACACCAGTCTCGTCTACATCTTCATCATCCTGAGCTACAGTTGATGGCTCAGGCTTGGATATCACATTGCTGATATTAGGAGCCTTGAACTGCTCTGCAGCTTGAGTTTGCAATTGCGAGCTCAAATCCTCAATCTTTGCTTCACCAAATATAACATATGTATCTGAAGTTGGGCTCTTGAAAACATCTGGCTTTGAGATGACAAACAGAATCTAAAACATAAACAAAGTCAAATATTCAGAAAAAGTAGCATACCTCCAAATTTGGAACAGAAAATAATAAACAAATAACTTTTCAGTAGTATTCATAAATCATCTAAATTCACTGACATTCTTGCTCTTCTTAACATTGACCCGGCTGACCCCTGGGATGGCCTTCATCCCCAGCTTTAGCACAGCCTTCCGACTCTTTTTCTCGCTTCTACTCTGTTTTGATCTTCCACTACCATCTCCTTGTCCTGACAAGAAGCAGTATGATATCATTCGTAAAGTATGCAGTTTTAGAAATTTCTAGATGCAAAGCACATATTGTAACCATTTTCAAAGCAGTCAATTGCCAGATCACCTTGATATGTGTTTATGCTTCATTTCAAGTAATGAATGATGGCAAGTTGGTGCAAAAAGTGTAGCTCATTAAAACATTGTAAGCATCTGAACTGAAGACACTCTTTCCACATTGAAATGTTGGTCTAGTATGTGAATTACAGGCTTTGCAAGAATCTTTCATGTGAAACCCATAAAGACTCAAGACACTTTGGAAAAGGCAAAAGGGAAAGAGAAGAAACACAAATTTAGTGCCTCAAGTCATAACTAATTCGTATGCATATTCCTACCAAAGTTGTATTCAATATCAAAGTTTCTCTACTCTGCACAAGTAGTCTGAGAAAAGGTATTGGAAAAGAATAGTAGGCAAAAAAAGAGAGAAATTTGGATGTGATTAACACAAAAAAACTACATTGACATGAAGTTCGCCAAAATCACAAGTACCTACCATCTGGTTTTGATAAATTACACTCATGTCAGAATTTGATGGGATAACAGTATCAATTGAACATGTGATTTGTCCCTTGCACTCTCAGCATAATTTTTAATTGGTACAAGCGAATCATTTGACAATCAGCCAAATTACCTTCACAACCACAAAACAGGATATTAGCACACTTGCTCTATTCCCCCTTTCTTCTTGCAATTTTTTTCTTTAACACTACAATCGTCTTTTCTTCTTCCCAATCACCAGCATAGACATAGCACTGGCTGGATAGCTGGACAGCTATTTTTTAGCAGATGACATACTATAATGGCATACTTATAGTCTAGATTCATTTTAGCCAAAATTACCAAGTAAAACAAATGATTAAACATTCCACCACCATAATACAGCCTAGTAACCACCTCACCACCATCTCGACCTTTACTACTAACACCAAAAATAAAGTCTTTCTCATTCAAAACCAAGCCTGAAAAACTCTGATCCATCACTCCAGTTTTCCAAATAGCAGAAACAACACACCGCCAGCATAGAGATCTACACTCCACCAGCATAGACAAAAACACATATCAACGCTCTGACAAAGTCCAACACACACCAACGCTCTGAAAATGTCCACAAGACTACAGCTATAGCTTCTTGAGCACAAGCAAAAACATACCACTACCAGGGCACTATCATCAAACAGAAACAAGTGTGTAGGAAAAAGAGAGCTTGCTATAAGCAAGTGGCAGAGCAGCCAGTGAACAACAGGGAAGAGTTTAAGTAGCACAAGGTCGGCATTAAAGTAATGATCATTGGGTGGCCTGGTGCAGAGAGAAAGGAGGAAGCAAAAGAAATGGAGGAGTAACAGGGGCCAGAAGAGACGAGAAATGCTTAACAAAAGCAGGGAGAGGGGAGAGAGATTAAGAGAAGGGCGAAGCCAGAAGTGGAGGCAGGCAAAGAGAGCAAGAGGGAAGGAAAGCCAGAGGTGGGAGGAGAAAGCAAGCAGGAAATTTGGGTGAACATAGAATATACGAAAAATAGAGAGAGACATGAGGGAATGAGGAATGAAAATGACCAGTGGAGCAACAAACAGGCAGTAAAAGGATGGGAGGAATTCGTTTTAATTTGTCATATTAATGAAAAGGTATAACATATTTTCTTACAACATCAAAATACTGTTCAATTACGAAGAAGTTAAATAAAAGCACGACAAAGAGTTGTGCTATATCCAACCGAAGATTAGGCACATTAGCATATTTCTTGAATCAGAAAGAATATGCTTTTATGTATGCAAATCTCACAGAATGTGGCTGTATCGTACACTATAAACAATTCATACTTTAACACAAATTATTGCACCAACAACAAAATTATTGCACCAACCAGACATGAGAGGTAAGATTTCATGAGAAAACATTTATAAGTAGAAATCTTTTAACAGTTGTATTTCTCTAATTGAATAGTCCACGACATCAAGCTTCCACAAAAAGCGTTAAAAGTGAGTTTAAAGGTGCTATATCATACAGAATGTACAAGTACCTTCAACGTCATCTTCATCTTTGTCATCATCATCATCTTCATCATCCTCTTCATCGTCATCCTCGATCACAGGTTCCTCAGGCTGTAAAACAGCATATTCATCATTAAATAAAAATAAGCCAGCAATGCAGCTTCAAACAAGTGCAACAATTGACTTCATTTTAGGCAGGATTTAGCTGAATAAATAAGGGCAGATTGTAGGAGAAAAAAGATTTTTAGCCCATAGCAAGACAACAGTGGAAAATTTTGAAAGGCAGATCAACCATATTGAAAAGATTTTGGCCAGTTGCTTGTTTTTTTCTAACTATGCAATACTTCAGAATCAAAACCATGCAGCAGAAGATGAGAGGAGTGCATAGAAGGCACAAATTTATTGATTGTGTTCTAGAGACGAAAGGATCCAGTGGTCTGTTAAAATTTAAAGGAGTTTAGTGCAGCCTAGAATGAAATCCATAATTGACACTTGTAAATTCATCTAGAATTGAGACGAATCTAGTACCCATTCTTTTCATTTCCTTAACTTAAAACAGCAATAAAGGGGTAAATTCATAGCAGCCCTGACAGGCCAGTAAACCACAAAGTGACATCTGCTAAAGACATTCTAGCGGGTTATCTTCACCAGGTTGGAGAAGCAATAAACGAAGAATTGAACCATCACTATGAACCTTTAGTAGAAAAAAACAATTATTTTCCAAAATCCACAAGAGATAGAACAGGAACTAAATTGACTTAGCGATCCCAGGCATCATTGCCTGTCAAATTAAGTATTTTGCGACATTTGAGCACATGTTAGATATTTGGAGATAACAATATCTTAATAAGTGCAAGCCTTGGCTAAACTGTTAATCAACCTTAGATTCCTTAAAAAACAATGACTATAGTATGTCACTATAGTGCACACAGCTAAATTTAGCACAACCCTTTGATAAATCACTCTGAAAAGTTAAACTACTAAATTGCAAGCCAAGGTTAACAAAAGAATAGTCCTTCTTGACTCATCAATGTCAAGTGCCACACTTTTATGAGAGATGGGGGACATGAAAAAATGGATCCTGAATTGTTCATTATGAGTAATTGCATCCCTCTAAACAAAATTCCAAATCACATAATAGTGACTTTAGAAGCACTCATTCATTTGTACCTGCAATGCAAAAAAGTTGCAATCAACAGGTTCATCATGAAGCCAAGGGCAATTCCATTATCAGCTTTCAAAAGGGTAATATCATTTAGCTAAATGCGATGGTTTCACAGAAATTCCTAGTGCAGTTCCATGCACCCAAACTCAGTTGAAAAAATATTATGGCTTTCATTTCAAAAGATTGCATCTTTTTGCCCAAAAGTCTCTTTGCAATCACCGATATGTCAAAAAAAACTGATTTAAAATCTTGACTACCGCATTATTAATTAACGAGCATTCATTTTCGACAAAATTTTGGATTTGAAGTACACATCCTTTCTAATCCCGCAAAACCCCAAAAAGGTTATATCTTTCTCCGATTTAAAAACTTGACTCCCGCATTATTAATTAACTAACTAGCCTTCATTTTCAACACATTTTTGGATTTGAAGCACACATCCTGTCTAATCAGTAGCCACGAAACACCAAAAAGACCATATTTTTCTGCTTTAATTGAATATGGAATTGTTAGTTCTCGTTCATTTTCCAATTCATTTCATCAAAATTGATAATTTTCCAGCAAAACATATGAAGCCGCAATACTAACACAACATCATCACCTGACTATCAATATACCTTAACTTTTCGTTGACCAATATGGCCAGAAAAATAAAGGATTTCCTGTAAATATAGATTCCAAAAGATATACTGAACTACAAATAACGAATTTTTTGCAACTGAGGCAGCAAATAGATATTAATTTCCTTTAAAAAAATCAAAAGTTTAGATAACAACAATTTATACAAAAGATATCCACAGAGACAGGAGAGATTAAAATTACATCGATATTTTGTTGCTCCAGATGGGCGGCCAAGAGTTCTTCCTGGGACTGGGCAGTCATGCTGTCGGAGAGGAAACGTCGTTTGTGTGTCTGTTTTAGAGTGAGGATTTGGGGTGAAAGAAAAGAAACCCTCAAAGAACCCTAAATACTTGTGGTAGAAAATTCAACAGTATTTGCAATTTGTATCCTCGAATTATTATTGGCTTTCGATTTGTGGCCCCAATTTAACAATTTTCACAATTTACCGTGTTATTAATTAGGGGTGTTAAAACTTTTTTTTTTTTGGGGTGATGTGGAGAGCTTGGGGATGTTGAAATCTTTTCATCCAAAAGTAATAGAAGGATTGTTAATTTTCAATTTTAATTGAAAAATGTGCCATTGATTGAATGTATAAGGTATTAAATTACTAAAAATAAAATGTTCAAGAGTGTATAATAGATAATGATTTCGGATAACTTTTTTATATACTGTCACTATATAATTTTTTTTACATTAGCAGGTTTAATCGTATCACATAATATGAATTTAAACTTAAAATTCAAATAATGCACATGTGACATACATCCAATGCTACTAGTGTGAGAAAATAAATACACTGTTAGAGTATAAAATGTTAATCCAATGGTTTAATGCAATACTATAATTAACACTAAATTTTAGAAGTAGTGGACTGAGATGTGTTAACAATTACCTTAGTCTCGAACTTATGTGAGTCGAAGTCAAGCTCTTTAAAATATAATTTGACTTAGACTTGAGTCTAATTTGCTCAAACTCAAGCAATATCATTTTTAGATAAGTCAAACTCGAGTAGAGCACTGCTCAGACTTAACTCAGCTTATTCACTTTATAATGTAGTCAATAGTATTTTATTTTGAGAATGTATATTAAAAAAGAACTTTGGCTCCTAATTATATTAGTGAAGAACTATGGCAGTTCGGGGTGGTGGGATGGTTTAAAATTAAATACAAATTATAGCAGTTAGGGATGAAAATAGTGTGGAGAGAAGGTAAAAAAAAATAAGGATTAATCTTATATACAGTGTCAGTGTATACACTATTATCATTAGATATATGTCACATGTGCAAAATTCGAATTTGAAATTCAAAATTTGCTCATGTGTCATCCATCCAATCGTGATAGTGTATACAATGACAGTGTATATAAATTTACTCAAAAAATAATGAAAGTAAAAATACTATGCCTCCTAAATGCACTTGGGATGGAGTCAAGTTGGAAACATCTTAATTTACTCTAATCAAGAGGATTTTACTTGAAGAGTGTATTAATTAGGAATTGTAAGGGGTCATGAAATATATGAACGAAGAACTATGGCTCATTTATGCTAGATTAAATCGAGTGAAGAGGAGTTATCAAGTGTTTATTTTCTTTTCAAGATTATAGTTTTTGTTAAATAGTCATGTTTGGTATTTCACTATAGGAGAGTTAACACAATAACATAAGTATAATAACACATCCAATGTTTGGATCGACATTAAGGTATTCATGAACCAGATAATTAGTTCATCGGAATGTTACATTATTAAAAACCAGTTTTACAAGACAGTCAAAATTTTGAACTATTAGTGACTATGGTCATATGCTACCTAGTCATACTGGTTCGGAATCCTTTGGTACCTAAGTTTAAAATGGTCATATTTCGGTAATCGACAATTGGGAGCCAAATATAAGTCTAAAATATCTCATCATAAGTTTATGCTAGCGTTAAAAAAAACCATTAAAAAACATCAATTCTCATAGATTCACAATAAACAAGCGTTCAAAACAACATCCTTCCATAGTCAAAAAAAAAAGTGACAAGTTTAACAAAGCTAACAACTTAAAATTATTAACATGATATAAAATCATCTTTCCAAGTATGAGAATTGAAAAGAAGAAACTTAGGCCTTGCTCAATTAGTTTTGTCCATACTGGACAAAATTACTGATCTACCTTTACCATATGGAGGGTCCAGTATTCACATATTGTTAGAAAATGCCAACTAATACTTGACCTGCATTCTTTTCTAGCTGAATTGATATTCAACATGCGTATAAAACTTGACTCAATTAGCTTTTTTTCCTTGGCGTCAGAATTGATCTATTTTGTAAATTTTCCTATTCTCAATTTTGTTTGAACAACTTTAGTGGGTAATGATGGAAAAAGATAAAAACTTGTTTATTCATAAGATATCCTTTGATTATTATTTTTCATCTATTAAATAAGGGCGAATCCCTCATATTATTGTCCAAAAAAAAGAAAAAATCACAAAAATAATGTTCTAACATAGATATAGTACAAAAGGAAAGAATTTTTTTTTAAAATACTAGGCTGCTAGACTAACAAAGCCCGGCAGCCAACGTGAAAATTTTTTTCACAGGTCGGCCAAAAGTAAAAATTTAAAAAAAAAAAACAAAAAGACTGGCTCGATGGCTTTGAAGTTACTATGAACTAAAATGGCCCAGTGGCTTTTAGTTCGTAGTAACTAATTTGGCTTGCCTACCTGGCTCCAGTGGCACTTCCAACGTGAAGTATGTGGATGTCACTAGTCTAGTACTACTTACACCAACGACTTTGAAGTTGCTTTTTTTAATGGGATTCTATTTGTAACTTGGGATAATATCAGAAACCTCCCTTGAGGTTTCTCTTAATATTAATTGATATCCTTGAGATTTTAGAAATATCACTTATCTCCTTTAGTAATTGTAAAAATATTATATTAACCCTCATTTGACACATAATTCACAACATATCAAATAAATGGAGAGCAAAATTTGCAAAAAAAAAAAGAAACAAAAGTCACTTTCTTTTCTTCATCATTCTCTCTTACTCATATTTTTTGGATGACTATGCAATATTTTAGTTGTAAATTATAATAAATTAAATTTTGTTGGCCTTTTAATATTTGTGATTGTGATAAAGCTAGGTATAATTTATTTGTTTATTTTGAGTTGATTTTTTAAATTGATGCAAGTGTATTTCTTTTCAAATATCTTTTTTATTTTTTAAATTTTGTATTTTTATGGGGTATAGCATTGTGATGTGGTAGTACTATAAGAGATTGTTTTTGAAATGATGGTTTTCTTGAAATAAACAAATTGATTTAGAAATACTTTTATTTAGCAAGTGAAAGGGTAATTTAGGGTTTTTAAAAATTTTGTTACACAAATAACAAAAGTAAGGAAGGTAAGTGATATTTTTGAAATCTTAGGGGTGCCAAGTGATATTAAAAAAAATCTTAGAAGAGGTTTATGATATTATCACTTGTAACTTTCTTTTCCTTTTATCATTACGCTAGATGTGAGCCATGAGAAACCGACAGTAGCCGCTTTTCAAAGTGGATAATTTGAAGAAGAGGTATAAATTGGAGAGACATGATTGAGTAACGGTGGTGTCTCCAACAAGCCAGTCGTTCTTTTTTTTTTTGGCCTTTTCATGATGGGTGCCGGCCTGTATTTTATTTTAAAAAAAATTTCCGCTTTGGATTGTCAACCCGACAGTCCAGTATTTGAAAAAAAAAATATTCTTTGCTGCCCGGCTTAGTCAACCCGACAGGCATAGTTTTGTATAGGAGTGGCAATTCAGGTCCAAATCAGGTTGGCGGGTCGGGTCAGACTCGACCCGTCAGAAAATATGCTGACCCGAACCCGACCCGTCAACCCGTTACGGGTTAGGTTTGCTGACCCGAACCCGAAAATTTCAGGTCGGCGGGTTGGCGGGTCGACCCGAAATGACCCGAAACTTAATTTTAATTTATTAATTTATCACTGTAATTTCTAATAAAATCAATTTCTCACAAAACTAATTACATAATCAAGTAATAAAAATTTAAATAAATAATTCCAAACCAAATCTAAAATAAATTAAACACCGTAAAAGTGTTTTATCCCAAACAAAATATAAAATAAATTAAAACAGTATAAAAGTAAAAAATAATATAATATATTATTTGTCCAAATATAATAATTTCAACTTCACACAAATTAAATAAATTCATTTAGGATTAAGTAATTAATGCCTTTGAAAAAAAGAATAACTTAGTTTAGTTAGATAAAATTATTTTTATGTTTATTAAATTATTTTTAATTCGTAAACGGGTCATATCGGGTCATATCAGGTCACCACGGGTTGACCCGAAATCGACCTGTTTTCTTTTCGGGTTCATCGGGTTCAACCCGATTCTGACCCGAATTCCCAAAACCTCAACCCAAACCCATTAATTTCGTGTTAGGTTCGTGTCGTGTTTTCAGGTCGTGTCGAAAATTGCCACCCCTAGTTTTGTATCATATCCATGTCAAATCATTATTTTTGTGATTTTTTCTTTTTTTTAACAATAATCTGAGGAATTTGCCTTAAATAGGCTGTTATGTCCTTGCAATCTTGTCTTTGGTGAAAAAAGGATGAAGAAGCAACTTAAAAACTCTTGCATGATGTACAAGAATAGCAGATGCCTGCACAAAGAAAAGAGACAGAGCCGGATACAAATCATGCACTCCACTCAATTTTAATCACATTTTGATATGAATTATACTGAATTATGGAAATGATTTACAAAACATTTGAGATAAGTGATTCCGTAAGGCTGCAAAAATTACCAATTAAATTAAAATGGTAATCAGATTCTTATGATAATCTACACCAATAACTCATCTTTCTTTTTCACTTTTTATAACCTCAATGTCATGCGAGTAATTAATGCACACTAAGCTGAAAATTGACATGTCCTGGACAAGCCAAAATTGCATAATCACAAGGATCTATTGAACAAGCTCTCAAGTTTGAAGAACCAAATAAGAAAAAGAAAAAAACTAAAGGAAAGGGAGCAAGACAAAGAGAACATAAAAGTTTGAAAATACAGAAAACTAAGGGTCCGTTTGTTTCGGGTGAAAATGTTTTCCAGGAAAATATTTTCCTAATTTCCCGTGTTTGGTTGCACAAAAGTTACTGAAAACATTTTCTTATGTAAAATATTTTCACTCATCTTATGGAAAACAACTTCCCTTCCAAACTTACTGAAGTTGTTTTCCGAAATGCATGCATCCCGCCTGTAGTATGTTCCAAACTTACTGAAAACATCTTGTAGTATGTTCTTTTTTTTTTTTTAGTATAAACAGGAGGACTCGAACCCAAGATCTCT